AATTTTGATCTCACTTGCATAAACACCCTTCCATCACCTCAACCTGCACACACAGAACAAGCACAAACGTACAACTCTGAATTCATGAACATACTGCAGGTTGTAAATCCAGATGTACACGGGTGACAACGCACATAAAGGGCAGAGAGGGCCTGGATGGGCCTAGAGATTTATTTCCTCCCTTCACCTGGTCTTCCCTTCCCTCACCTACCAGGCCAAAGGCTTTTCAACACCATGTTATCAGCACTGTTTCTTGGTGGTGCTCCAAAAAACATGTGCTGGTACTGCTGGATGGCTTTAGGAGAGAGACAGCTCTCAAAAGTCAAGGCTACTCACCAGGGTAGGCACAGGCTGTGCTACACTGAGGGTGCATTATTTACAGAATCCAGACTTTGTGTCTCACTCTGAGACATCCCTGTTTCCTCTGGCAAACCTCCTCCAGGTCCCCAGGAACTCAGGTCCCCTGGATTTTTCTGCAGGGTGAAGACAAAGGTACCCCTGGAGGACAGGGAAGGTGGCAGCTCTGTGACAGGAGAGAATTGTTCTCGCTGAGGAGAGAATTCCACACTCATGGAATGACCTTGCTCTGTTCTGCATCTCAGCTGTGAGGGGGGTGAGGCAGGTGTGAGGGCTGGGGAAGGCTCTGGATGTCAGAGGTGGGAAAAGCACCTTCACAAAGGGCACTCCCTGCACAAGGGCAGCTGAAGGACAACGACAGAGCTGCCAGTCTCTCTGGACTTTGCACAGGCAGGCAGGCACCTGCACTCCCCTCCCCACCAGGGTCAGGTGCCTCCTGCATCTTTAGTAGAGGACAACGTGACAATTAATCACTTCTTGTGCTGGATTCCACCACCACAGAACCCTTGCTGGGGGATGGCTGCAGCAGAGCAGGGGCTGCCAGCAGTGTGTGAGTGCTGCCTGCACCCCTCAGCCACCCTCCTGCCACTGCTGCCAGCCAGCAGAGACACCTGCATCAAAAGGAACAGCCAAACCAGCCCTCAAATCCACGGCGCTGCTCAGCAGGACCTGCCCCTCAGGTGATGAGGCACGGCTTTACAGCCAGTCCCACAAGGATGTGTGACTTGGATGGGTGTGCCAAAATACAACTTTAACCTTTACACCCTTTTTCAACACCTAAGCACCGGACTGAAGCATTCTGCAAAGAAAACAGAATTTAAGACAGCATGACTGAGCTCATGACTTTCTAACACCCACAAATGTCCTGTTGACACCTCGGGATGAACATTCAATTTAAAAATCATTCCTGAAACAACTTTTACCTCACCTTATATCAATGTTCAGCTCAAAAGAGTTATGAAAATGAGTGAAAGTACTTTTTTTTTACCTCACTTCTCAGCATCTGCCACTAAACCAAGCACATTTAGTAAACT